AATTCTTGTGAAAATTTCTTTATTTAAGGAAATTAATTGAATTCTTGCAACGATTATTATTAAAGTTTTTAAAAATAATTGAATTCCTGAAAAGAATTTTATTATTTATAAAAATAATTTAATTCTCGCGAAAAATTTTCATAAAAATCTATTTAAATAATTGGTTTTTTTCGAAAAATATTAGAAAAATTCTATGTTAAATAATTGAATTTTTGTGAAAATTGTATATTATTTATAAAAATATTTGAATTCTTTCAAAAAATTTTATTAAAATTATATTGAAAACAATTCAATTATTCTAAAGAAAATCATTAAAATTTTTTTAAATAATTGAATTCTTTCAGAGAATTTTATTAAAATTTTTAAGAATAGTTGAAATTTTCGCGGAATTCATTTAAAATTGTATTAAAAATAATTGAAGTCCTGCAATGAGTTTTAATATTTATAAAATTAATTAAATTCTTGCGAAGAATTTTATAAAAAACTATTTAAATAATTGATTTTTTTCGATAAATATTAGGAAAATTCTGTTTTAAATAATTGAATTCCTGTGAAAATTTTTTTATTTATAAAAATAATTGAATATTTGCGAAGAATTTTATAAACATTTTTTTTTCAAATTATTCAATTCTCTTGGGAAATTTTTAATTAAAATAGTAGGGGAACATAGTCTAGGTCGGCCACCTTTTTGACTTTTGTTTATAACTTTTTTTTAAAAATGAATTTGGACAATTGAAGTATATGGTTGGAAAGTCCTGTTTAATAGGAACATTTTTTCTGTACAAAGTAAATTGACAGGTTTAAAAATGAAAAAGTTATAAAGATTTAAAAAAAAAAAAATTTGTAGTCCAGGTTGGCCATTACAGTCAAGGTCGGCCATGTTTAAAATTCAAAGGGCATTAATCGTTAAAAAATAAAATAACATGTTTGGAGTTACGGAAAATTGATTCTTTATTGTTTACAGTTTGTAACTTAATGAAATAACAAAATAATAACAATAAACAATATAAAAAAATAAATATAAATAAAAAAAAGTTTTGCACTAAAATATTAATAAAATTAAATAAAAATATTAATAAGATGATCAATTATATTATGAGTTATACAGAATTGCAGTTTTTGCAAATGAAGTAGCTCGTCCTCAACTTTGCGCATTTTAAACACATAGTGGCCGACCTTGACAGTAAGTAACATTACCGAATTGTTGTAAACAAAAAGAAATACGTTTCGGGATTCGATTTTTTACTTTGTTTTCCTTTCAACCATGAGTCCCACAAATTTTCTGCATACTTGCCTTGACGATTCAATTTGTTTTTTATCTTTTATTAATGGTTTTTCACATTATGCACAAAACTTTTTTTGAGCTTTTTTTGTACCGACGTCACAGAAAACACAATTTTCGATTTTCCGAAAATGTAATTGAACAAAAAGTTAGGTTTCACTAAGACAAGCTTCGACAAAAATGCGCGTAGGTGGCGCTAGTGAACTTGACAAAAAAACGCGAGTGGCCTACCTAGACAGTAGGCCAACCTTGACTACATTCCCCTAGATATTAAAAATCATTGAATTACGAAAAATTTGTAAAAATAATTGAATCATTGTAAAGAACTTCATTAAAATTTTTTGAATTTTTTGCAATAACTTTATTAAAATTTCTTAAAATAATTTTTTTATTTCAACTGTTAACAACTTTTAAAGTAGTGTAAATTCTCAAACATGGAAAAAAGTAGCTTTTAGTGTAACAAATAGAAAAAAAGTATCTTAATAGTAGCAAATTGTAAAAAAGTAGTAAATATAGTTGGTTTTAATATATGAGTATTAAATCGTCACAATATCTCTGTTTTGAAAATAAAAACTCAAATTTTATTTCCAGCAAACAGTCAAAGGCACTTATGAATGGATGCTATTTTTTCTCGATCATCCCTTGTCTCAATCCATTAATAAGTTCTAAAAAATTTGGACTCCCATACCCGAGTATATGGATTCCCCTTAGTTTCGAAAGTATAATATACTATCGATTTATTTATTTGTATCAGGCAATTGTCGTTCTTGTTTCAACAGTCATCCTCTGTTGCTGTGATACTTATTTGTGTGAATACATGGAAAAAATTAGTGCCGAATTAGATGTATTCAAATATCGTTTATGCCAATTCCAACTAGAAATAAGTTCAAATTTCAAATCAAAGAATAATCAATATGAATTAAGAACAATAAAAGACTGGTTACACTATCATTCTCATTTAATAAAGTAAGTAAATAAAGTAATTAAATATTAATTAAAAGTAAATAAATTTAATATTTTTGGAAGCCATAAAATTATATAAATAAAAGATGTTTTGATTCTTCTGTTTGGCCTAATGGCCTAATGGCCATTAGGCCAAACAGAATAATCAAAACATCTTTTACAAATAAATAAAGTAATTAAATATTAAATACAAGTAAATAAAAAAATTAAATAAAAATAAACAAAGTAAGTAAGTAACAAACAAAAATAAAAAGAAAGATTAGAAAAAGAAAAAAAAGAAAATTAAAAAAAGTTAAAAAAAACATTTTTTCATTCCACAGAATGGTTCACAATTTCAATAATTTATTCAATTTGATATTCATTGTCCAATTTTTTATCTCTACTGCTGTTTTGGGTTTGACAATTTCCAATTTAGCAAAAGTGGAACTATATACAACCCACTTTTGGTATATGTGCATTTATTTACTTGATTTTACTGGTGAAATTTTTCAAATATGCTACTATGGAGAGAAAATAATTGTCAAGGTAAAATAAATAATTTCAAACGTTAATGAAACTAAAAATAAAATAAAAAAAACGGTTCTTGAATGTTACTCGCATATTCATACAAGTACAAAAAAAAAAGACAAATACAATTTACTTGATGTGATATTTAGTAAATTTTATAACACTGCTTTTATTGAACCAAGAAGACAGTTTTCATTTAACAAAGAATGCTAATAAAATCAATTAAATATCACATCCAGTAAATTATATTTGCCTTTGAACGTACACACAATAAGTATGCTTATTATAAACTCTAGCTTTTTTTTGTTTACATAAATATTCGCATATAATGCATAAAAAAATGTTTATGACACTCATGCGTATTATGGTCACTTTATCTACCTGTACAGAGCAGAATACTAAATTCCTCCTTATAACCCAGCGGTCAATAAAGCGTCCATTATTGCCCTAGGGCACTAATAAAGTGTATTTTATTGACCTCTCGCAGGTCAATAAAGTAACCATTATTGCCCTAGAGCAAAATAGTACCTATTATTTCCTTAGGGCAATAAAGTACCTATTATTTACCTAGGGCAATAAAGTACCCATTATTTACCTAGGACAATAAAGTACCTATTATTTACCTAGGGCAAAAAGTACCCATTATTTACTTAGGGCAATAAAGTACCCATTATTTCCCTAGGGCAATAAAGTACCTATTATTTCCCTAGACCAATAAAGTATCTATTATTTCCCTAGGGCTATAAAGTACCCATTATTGCCCTAGGGCAATAATGATCACTTTAACCCAGTTGGTCAATAAAGGACCCATTATTGTCCTAGGGCAATAAAGTACAGAGTGACAATAATACGCCTTTGTTGCATAAAATACTTCTTTTTGGGAAAAATACATAATCCTATGCATTTAGAGATTTTGATATAATATATTTTAATTATCTATAATTGTGATTAGCATATATAATTATAATAATATTTTTACCTATTTTATAGAGCACAGAAATTGTAAATGCCTGTTATAGCGTAAATTGGAATTCATTGAGCAAGAAATCAAGAATGTCATTATATATTATAATGATACAAGCTTCTAAACCAATGAAAATAAAAAGTGGATCTATGCTAATAATGTCTATTGGCACATTTGTTACGGTAAATTAAAATTATTTAAAAATATAATTTTTAAATTTAATTTAAAAAGGCGTCAAATATTATACAAAAAATGAATTTTTATTTTTAGATTTTAAAAGTTGCATATTCGATTTTTAACGTTCTAAGAGAGAAGCGTTAAGATGCTATTAATATATCAGAGGATTATTAGTTATTAAAATTAATTATTTTTATTTAAAAGATTAAATTAAAATATTTTTTTATTCGAAAATACTGATTAAAATTCAAGAAACGAATATTTTTTAAATCAAATTAATTATTTAATGTTGAAGTAAATAAATTTTTCATAATGAAAAATAGAAAAGAAAGTGAGTATTTTTAGTATAGGTATTAGTATTTAGTAGTATTTAGACCATTTTAGTATGTTTTATAATAAAATTTAACTATTTTTAATAATTACATTAAAGGAAGAAGTTAACAAATTTTTAATAATTATTTTAAACAATAATTTAAATATTCTTTTTGGATTGTGGTTCAATGGTAAAAATAGACAAGTAATATTTTTTGGATATATTCAAAATAGTCAACCCCTTAACGATACACTACATTCATTATTAAATCGTAAATGAACTGTCGTTAACTTTAAATAGTGGTTATTATCGAGGGATTCAGTGAATTTTTAACTTCCTTCACAAGAACACATAATTAAATAGGGACAAAATTGTTATTATGCTTTATGTTACAGTTGTAATTAAAATATATTTCCTGTTTCTAATACCAAAGAAATATAAATTCGACATAATTCATAAACTGTTTACTATAAAACGTTAGTTGTGTTTCAAAAGTCTCATTCTCCACAACAAAGTGTTTCGTTTTTAAACCACAATCCAAACATTTATTATTAAAAACAATAATATTAAATTATTATTAAAAATTTAATTTTATTTATATATTTTTATAATATAATTTTATTATATAAAAAAACTGACAAATTTTAACACGTTATTAAAAATAATTATTTGTTATGCAAAAAACTAATAAATTTTAACACATTATCAAAATAATTATTTTTTATGCAAAAAACTAATAATTTTTAACACATCAAAAATAATTATTTTTTATTTAAAAAAAAAATAAATTTTAACACATTAAAACCTACAGAGTATCAGTAAAATGAGAGAGAAAATACTAAGTCTATAAAATATATAGAATTGGGAGAAAAAAAATTTATAAACTAAAAATGAATTTGGCTAAACATGCAATACGTCATCTCATGATAGTTGGCACATGGAAACCAAAAACATTGGATTCAAATTTAACCTACAGAGTGTATAGCTGTTTTATTTTGACAATATTAACATTATTTGCAATTTACGTCCTGATCTATATATTAAAATTTTCGAAAAATGTCAATTCATTAACGGAGAGTTTATTAGTGTTTTTCAGTATTTTTGGGGCAATTGTAAAAATGCTTCATTTTATGTTAAGACAAGAGGAAATTATTTCCGTTGACAGTATGCTTACGGAAAAAATTTGTCTACCTCGCGATCAAATTGAAGAGGAAATATTGAGCTCATCAGAAAAGTTCATCAGGTAATGTATATTACTTTAATTAATTAATTATTTAATTTGAATTTTTTTATATTAATTATAATATACAATATAATAATATGTAATATATAATATAATAATATATAATATATAATTATATTTATATTAATTCGAGTATTAATTTATTATCAGTACTATTATTATCAGTCTTATCACAGTACTCTTCTTCTTTAAAATCGGAAAAAAGATAAATTTTTTCATATTAAGTGAAAAAGGTTAAAAAAAAAATTCGAAATAAAAAAATAAGTACATGAATTGTTACATTGAAAATAATTTTCAAATTTTAATTACAGAAAACGATCAAATACACTAATGATTGGATGCTACTTGTTCTCCCTGTCCCTCTGTATGATTCCCTTGTTCACTACGAAAAAAATGGCACTACCATACCCAAATGTATTTATCCCCCTTTCATTCGAAAGTTCAAGATATTATCGACTTATTTACCTGTATCAGGTATTTGTCTTTCTTTTAACAACAATCATCCTCTGCTGCTGTGATACTTATATGAATGAACTTCTGGAAAAAATTTGTGCCGAATTAGATGTCTTCAAACATCGTTTATACAGTTCCCAGCAGAAAATAAATACAAATTTCCAATCAAAGAATAATCAATATGAATTAGCAGTAATAAAGGACTGGCTACATTTTCATATACATTTAATCAAGTAAGTTTTCATGTAGATGAGAAATAAAGTTATAAGAGCAAAGCGAGGCAAAGATTTAAAAAAGTTAAAAAATAGTTTAGAAAAAATGATAAAAATTTCCTTATTCCACAGGACTGTACACAGTGTAAATAACACATTCAATTTAATATTTATTCTTCAATTTTTTATATCCACTGCTGTCTTGGGTTTAGCAATCTTTAATTTGGCAAGAGTTGAATTATTCACACTACATTTTTGGTACATGTGTACTTATTTGTTTGATTTTATGATTGAAATCTTTCAATTTTGTTACAATGGAGAAAGAATAATTGTCAAGGTAAATTATAAAATCTAAAAACAATTTAATTTAACTAAAGAATTTAAATATTTTATTATCACGTGTAGGGCTCGAAACAGTGAAAATATTTAAAAATACGAACTTTACGGACCAAAAATGAAAAATTACGGACCATTTACGGACAAAAATATAAAAATTCAATTATTTCTAAAAATTCAAGCTGAATCGCTTTTAATATTCAATTATTATCTACAATTTTAGCTGAAATTCATTTTTAAATCAATTTTTATAAGAAAATTCTATTAGAATTCAATTATTTAAATCATAAAATAAATAATTTATTGAATAATTGAATATTTCTTAAAATTCAATTTCCATAAAGAATTTTATCAACAAATTTTTTAATAATTGAATTATTTCGACGAATTTTAATAAAATTTTTAAAAATAATTACAATTTTCGAGAAATTCAATTAAAATTGCATTAAAAATAATTAAAATTCTACGATGAGTTTTATTATTTGTGAAAATAATTGAATCCCTAAGAAGAATTTTATTGTTTTTGAATAATATTTAATTTTTGCGAAAAATATATTATTACTCTTTAAAATAATTGAATTTCTGCAATAATTTGTAACTTTTCCAAAATTTAATTTTTTTTCGTGTTTTTAACTACACGGAAAAAAAAAGTACGTGAATTTTTCATTGACTCGGTACTTGACTTTTGGATACGACACAAAATACTAAAAACAGTCTAGTACTTTTGCATGAGAGTTTCAAAAGCAGTCAATGAAAATTTCTAGTACCTTGCTTGAGAATTTCATTGACTTTCAAAAAAACTGTAAAATAAAAAAAATAATTTCCACTTGTTCACAGAGTTTTTCTGAAATTCACTCATTCATTCACATATTTGGATAATTAATCACACAAACAAAGAACAATTATTGTATCACTTTTCGACGTTCGTCAACACTTATGAACTAACCTATGACACACACATATATTCGCGTATAACTTAAATATAAACACACACTTAACACTTAAAAGTACGTATCGAATTGTTCTTATATACCACATGGTGAAATTTTTCACGACTTCTGAGACATGCTATTTCACTGAAAACTGAGACTTACATAACATTCTGTTTTGTGAGAAACACAAAACAAAAAATATTTTTTTGAAAGTCAATTCTTGAAGACAAATATATATTAACACTATTTGTTTTTCATAAAATAATAGTATATTCACATCTGAAATTAACACAAACGGAAACAGACGATCAGCTGGCATTTACCTTGGGTAGAAACGCGCAACGCACACTGCGCATGCTCTACAGAATTTTCAAGCGCAGTCAACTAATCTTTCACGTACTTTATAAAACTGAACAAATGACTTTTCGTTAAAATTTAAAAAACACTGTTGCCCATACTAGTACTAGAATAATTCTAGGACTTTTCTATATTTTCTAATAAAAAGTATATGGAACAGCCTTGTATTTTGTGTCCTATCCAAAATTCAAGCACTTTCAAGGAAGGATTCACGTACTTTTTTTTTCCGTGTAAAATTCTTCTATAAATGTATTATTTTTAAAAATTTTTGAAAACGTTCCTTAAGAATTTTCAAATTTATTTGTTTACAATTAAATTTCACCAAAATTTTCCATTATTCGGAACTTCTGCAAATAAATATTTAGTAGAAAATAAAAAGTTTAAATAATAATTCCAAAAAAATTCAATTCAACTTTAAAAAAAATTAATTCCACAGAATTGTTAGTCAAAAATATAAAAAATTCACATTTTCAAAGATTTTAATTTGAAACCTCTTCAAAATTCAATTATTTCTAAAAATTCACGCTCTATTGCTTTTAATATATTCCATTATAATTTAAAATTTTAACTCAAATCAATTTTTAAATCAATTTTTATTAGAAAATTCTAAAAAAAATCCAATCATTTAAAATACAAAAGAACAATTTATTAAATAATTGCATATTTCTTAAAATTGAATTCTCATAAAGATAAATTTTTAAATAATTTAATTCTTTTGACGAATTTTGATAAAATTTTTTTAAATAGGTAATTACATTTTTCGAGGAATTTGATTAAAATTGTATTAAAAAATAATTAAAATTCTGCAATGAGTTTTATTATTTATGAAAATAATTAAATTCCTAAAAAGAATGTTATTATTAATTAAATAATAATTAAATCCCTGTAAAAAGAATTTAATTATTTATGAAAATAATTGAATGATAGCGAAACAATTTGTAAATAATTGAATTATCCTGTGAAATTTTTAATTTCTTATGAAAACAATGAAAGGTTTGCACAAAATTTTATTATTAAATTTTGTTAAAATTCCGATTTGAATTCTTTTGCAAAAATTTTATTAAAATAGTGTCTATTGAAAATCATTAAACGGAGGAGAATTTTAGAAAATAATTGAAATTTTGCAAAGAATTTTATTAAAATTTTTGAAAATATTGAATTTCGAAGAAGATTTTAGTTATTTCTAAAGATCATTGAAATTTTGACAAGAATTTTAAAAAATTTTTGAACATATCTGAATTTCTCCGAAGATTTTAATTATTTCTAAAAATAATCGAATTTCTGCAATCATTTGTAATTTCTCCAAAATTCTCCAAATTATATTGTATAATTTACGAACTTTTCGTCTTTTTTCGAAAAAAATTGACTTTTGCGGACTTGAAGCAAACATACGGACTTTTAGATTATTTACGAACCTAGTTCGAGCCCTGTTGTGAGTAAAAAAAAATTTCCTTTGAGAAAAATGAATATTTTTTAATTTTCAGAGTACGGAAATTGTAAATGCCTGCTATAATGTAAATTGGAATACTTTAAGCAAGAGTTCAAGAATGTCATTATACATTATAATGATTCAAGCTTCTAAACCAATGAAAATAAAAAGTGGATCTATGGTAACAATGTCTATTGGTACATTTGTTGCGGTAAATGTCAAAACATTCAAAAATTTAATAAAAATTTCTATAAATCGAAATTTTCTGTTCTATAAATAGTACATTTTTGTTTACAGATTTTTAAAGTATCGTATTCAATATTCAACGTTTTGAGGGAAATTCATTAAGATCGATGCAAATCTACATTCATGAAAATTACATCTGTATATTCTGTTCCGTTGTTATGAATAACGATATAACGTGTAAATATTTTTGGTATTAAATAAAAATCTTTAAAATACAATTTTATTTTTTCCTAATCTTCTATTATTTTAAAGTTTATAAACTTAGACATCCGATCGAAGAACCAGTTACTTTTTGGAACTCGAAATTCTCTCCCTCTAATTTGAATTAGATTAAAAACTTTTTAATTTCTGATTTTCATCTGAAAAAAATTATAACCGGTTCTTTGATCGGAATCTTTAATTGTTATTTATAGGAAAGTATTTTTTGTTTGCAGAATTATTAAATGATTTGAATTTTATTTTTTTACAAAATACTGTAACGTTAAATATGGATGGCCCTATTCAATAAAAAAATTAACGAGTAATTACCAATTAGCAATCGATTTTTTATTTCAACAAGTTAAACAGTTCTGCGAACCATTATTATTAACAGTTTATTTACTGTTTTCATTATAATTCGAGCATTATTAATGAACTACTAACTAAAAATCCAAAGAGCAATATTCTAAACATGTTTGCTTAATATAAACAAATATATTAACAGCACAAATAATATCTAAAAAAATATACTCCTCAGTTGTGTTTTACAAGTCTTTCTCTCCATATGTAAGTAAATCTATATCTTCACTAAGAACAATTTTATTTTATCGCAAAATAATTTTGAAATTTATAAAAAAATCACTAAAAATGAAAGCAAGAAAATTGTATTTGTAGAATACGTAGAAGTATCAAAATAAAAATGAATGTAGCTAAACGAGCAATATCTCATCTGGTCATAATCGGTGGTTGGCGACCGAAGAAATTAATTTCAAATTTATCCAAACAATTATACAAACTCTACAGTTGTTTCATTCTGCTAATCTTAACATTATCTGAAATCTACATGTTGATTGACATATTAATATTTTCGGAAAATGTCAATTTATTAACGGAAAGTTTACTGGAATTATTAACAGTGTTTGGAGGAATTATAAAAATGCTTCTCTTCATAATAAAGCAAGAAGAAATTATTTCCATCGACAGAATGCTGACGGAAAAAATTTGTCTACCTCGAGATGAAATAGAGAAGAAAATATTAGCAAAATCCAAAAATTCTATAAGGTAATGTACTATTCTATAAATTTCTCTAAATGTTATGCCTAAATCACTATAATATAATATAATTATATTATATTATGTTATATTTTATATAATATAATTAATTTTTATATTTTATTTACAGAAAGCTTTTAGATGCAATTATGATTGGATGCTACTTGTTCACCACGTCCCTTTGTATAATTCCCTTGTTTAGTTCAAAAAAATGGGCCCTTCCATACCCAAGTATATGGATCCCCCTCACTTTCGAAAGTTTAATGTATTATCTACTAATTTACTTGTACGAGTCATTTGTCTTTGTTTTAACAACAATTAGCCTCTGTTGCTGTAATATTTATATGATGGAACTTTTGGAGGCTATTAGTGCCGAATTGGACCTATTCAAACACCGTTTATTCAATTTCCAACTACAGAAGAAAATAGATTTCAAATCAAAGAATAATAAATATGAATTAACAATAATAAAGGACTGGTTACACTTTCATTTGCATCTAATCAAGTAAGTATACCTGTAGATTAGAAAAAATTAAGTAGAATTAAAAAGAAAAAGATTAAAAACAGTTTGAAAAATGATCCTTAAATTCTTAAATAGAAATTTTTTTCACCCTACAGAATAGTTCGCAGGGTAAATAACACATTCAATTTAATATTTATTCTTCAATTTTTGATATCTACTGCTGTCCTGGGTTTAACAATCTTTCATTTAGCAAGAGTTGAATTATTCACAACACATTTTTGGTTCATGTATATTCATTTCTTTGATTATATGATGGAAATCTTTCTATTTTCTTACTATGGACAAAAACTAATTATCAAGGTAAATTACAATTTAAATAGTTTACATTAAATAGCTGCGTGGGTAGAAGAAAATTTTTTTGGAAAAACAAATAATTTATTTCAATTTTCAGAGTACGGAAATTGTAGATGCCTGTTATAGTGCAAATTGGAATACATTAAGTAAAAGTTCAAGAATGTCATTATATATTATAATGATTAGAGCTTCTAAACCAATGAAGATAGTAGGTGGATCTATGGTAACAATGTCTACTAGCACATTACTTAAGGTAAATTTCAAAATATTAAAAATCGAATAAAGATTTGTTATAACTAAACTACAAATATTATATTTTTCTTTACAGATTTTAAAAGTGTCATATTCATTATTTAACGTTTTAAGGGAAATTCATCAGGATGCAAATCCAAATTTAAGTAAATTACACGGCTCGAACCAGTGAAACTATTTAAAAAATACTTTCTTACTTTTAAAAATACTTATTTAAAAATACCAAAAATGAAAAATTACGGACCAATTACTGCCAAAAATATTACAGTCCGAGTCAAATAAGAGAACATTTTACTCAAAACTTATAAATTTAATTTTTCATAACTATAAAACATAAAGATAAAATTATTTACAATTTAATTATTATTTACAAGAATTTTGAACTAAAATTCTTCTTTAAATCGAATTATTTTTAATAATTTTCGAAAAAGTTCTTTGACAATTTTCAAATCCATTTGTTTACAATATTCAAATTTACGCAATTTCAATAATTCGTAAATACTTCAATTAAATATATATTAGAAAATAAAAACTTTAAATAATATAACAAAAATTCAATTAAACTTATTAAAAAAAATTAATTTCGAAATTCAATTATTTCTCAAAATTCACGTTGTAGTGCTTTTAATATTCAATTATTAACTAAAATTCATTTTTTTATAAAATTCTACTACAATTCAATTATTCAATTCCTATAAAGAATTTTATTAACAAATTTTTTAATAATTGAATTCATTATTTGACGAATTTTAATAAAATTTTTAAGAATAATTACATTTTTCGAGAAACTTGATTAAAATTGGATTAAAAATAATTGAAATTCTGAGATAAGTTTTGATATTTATGAAAATAATTGAATCCCTAAGAAGAATTTTATTATTTTTGAACAATATTTAATTTTAGCGAAAAATATTATTACTCTTGAAAATAATTGAATTTCTGCATTAATTATTTAACTTTTTCAAAATAATATTTTTTTTTCAAGAATTTTCAACTAAAATTCTTCTTTAAATCAATTATTTTTAATAATTTTCGAAAAAGTTCTTTGACAATTTTCAAATCCATTTATTTACAATATTCAATTTTTCGAAACTACAATTATTCGTATATTCTTCAATTAAATATATTATTAGAAAATAAAAACTTCAAATAATATAAAAAAAATCAGGAATTAAACTTTCTCAAAAAAATTAATTTCAAAATTCAATTATTTCTAAAAATTCACGCTTAATTGCTTTCAATATTCAATTAATATCTAAAATTTTAATTGAAATTCATTTCTAAATCAATTTTTATTACAAAATTCTACTAAAATTCAATTATTTAAATACAAATAAAATGAATTTTAATGAAATTTTTTAAAATAATTACATTTTTCGAGAAATTCGATTAACATTTTATTAAAAATAATTGAAATTTTGCGATGAGTATTATTATTTGCGAAAATAATTGAATCCCTAAGAAGAATTTTACTGTATTTTAATAATATTTAATTTTAGCGAAAAATTGAAAATAATTGAATTTCTGCAACAATTTGTAACTTTCCCAAAATTAACTTTTTTTTCGTGTTTTTAACTAAAATTTTACCATAAAATACATTATTTTTAATAGTTTTTGCAAACGTTCCTTAAGAATTTTCAAATTCATTTGTTTATAATTAAATTTCACCAAAATTTTTCATTATTCGGAATTTCTTCAATTAAATATTTAGTAGAAAATAAAAACTTCAAATAATAATTCCAAAAAAAAATTCAATTCAACTTTTTCAAAAAAATTAATTCCACACAATTGTTAGTTAAAAATATGATAAATTCAAATTTTTAAAGATTTCAATTTGAAACCTTTTCAAAATTCAATTATTTCTAAAAATTCACGCAATAATGCTTTTAATATTCAATTATAATCTAAAATTTTAACTAAAATCAAAATTTTAATTTTAATTTTTAAATCAATGTTTATTAGAAAATTCTACTAGAATTCAATTATTGAAATACAAAAAATAATTGAATTCTTCTGAATGAATTTTGAGGAATTCGATTAAAATTGTATTAAAAATAATTGAAATTCTGCGATGAGTTTTATTATTTAAGAAAATAATTGAATTCCTAAAAAGAATTTTATTATTTACGAAAATAATTGAATCTCCGTAAAAAAATTTTTATTATTTATAATAATTGAATGATTCCGTAGAAATTTCAAAAAAAATTGCAAATAATTGAATTCCTGTAAAAATTATATCTTTTATGAAAATGTTTGCGTAGAATTTTATTGAATCTTTTTTTGAAGAATCGAATTCTTTTAGAAAATTTTAGTAAACTAGTAGATATTAAAAATCTTTAAATTAAAGAAAAATTTTGAAAATAATTGGAATTTTGCGAAAAATTTTATTAAAATTTTAGAAAGTAATTGAATTTGGGAGAGGGGTTTTTATGATTTATAAAGATAATTGAAATTCTTGGATGAGACAAAATTTTATCATAATTTTAAGTTGCGATGCAACGTTTTCATACAATTTTGTCTCAATATCTTTAGAAAAACTGTGATTATTATTGTCCATATATTTTTTAATCCAATAAACAAATTCTAGCTTAAAAATTAAAAAATAAATATTTACCGAAATAATTTGTTAAAAGAAGAAAATTCTCCCGCGCCTCAAAGGAAATAAAAATGCAAAAATAATTGATGAAAGAACTTACAAATAATTTGTTAAATAATTAAGACGTCTCAAGATTCGTAGTTTTGTTCTCTGATGATAAAAAATCACGCTAAGCATACCTTTCTCCAAAGCAATAAATAATAC